TGCTATTGTTAAAAATAACGAGTTTATAAATCGGTTTGTTTTAATTTTTTTTCAACGATACGCATGGTATCAAATAATCCGGCTGAGAAACTATTTTGATATGAATTGAGGGAAAATTATTGATTTTAACGAATGTCAATGGACGCAATCTTATTCAGAAATGCGAGAAAAATTCTGTTACCACAACATGTTTGTTTTGATTTTAGAACAAATGCCGAACAGCTACGCTTGGACGGTTTTTTTATTCAGTCAAATTATGTACCTTTTGAAGATATCGAATCCCTTAGTTCAGTTGTGAAAAGTGTTTTTTTAACATGTGTCGTTTTTTGTTAAATTTTGGGGTTTGAATCTTGGTAATTTGGAAAATTATGCGCGCCAGGGGCAGATCTAGGATTTTCTCAAGGAGGAAGCGGATTTTCTCAAGGAGGAAGCGGGTCGACCAAATTGATTTTCTAAGCTCTCCCAAAGCACTGCAAAGACCCGGTTTTGGCCGAAATTTCTAGGTTCCGTCACCAAAAATGGATATCTCAAAATAGTACAAAGGGGGGACCCTTTAGGGCGGCAGGGGGTCGAATCCCTGAGGGGAGCGTGCGCCAAAATTTAATTATGTTTTTGTGTATAATCAAGTTTGAGTTGTCTATGGACAGTCTGGGCTCTTTTTCCTTTTCCCCCCACCTCACATAAGAGTCAATTTTATGGTGTAACGAGGAGTTTTACAAGGTTAATTATGATGACCAAAAATGTTTGTCATGGCCTAATTTGTTCGCATGCCAATTTTTGTAACATTCGGATAAAGTGAACAAAACTTCACTAGTAAAATTTTGCAGGTGGGGGCGAAAAGGAAAAAGAGCCACAGTCTGAAATCAGTTGTTCTGAAATTAGTTTACACACACACATAAACACACACACACACTCACACGCAATCACACGCACACGCACACTTCATACACACAAATATAAGAATCTTCTCCGTTAAAATTTAAGAACAAAACTTAAGTTTTTTATGGTACATATTTTTTTTCAAACCTACTTTGAAAAATTAAATGCAAAAATTTGCACGATTCAGTTGTATTTTTAATTTATAAAATGCTTTTTTGCCAATTTTTGCTTGTGTCTTTGAAGCGATGATTCAACTCGTTGTTTAAATTTTGGTAAAATTTGAAAAAACTTATGCTTTCTATCGGCGTAACACGATGGCAGTTAAAAAAATTTTCAAAAAAAGGACAAACAATCAGAAACTAATAACTGCCACTGTGAATAAAATTGTAAAATAAAATCTAGCTTAAAGTGAAAAGAAGTTTGGATCTGTTTAGACCTTATAGTGGCCTGCTTGAACTTATCTAAACCTGAAAATAATCGGATCAATTCCTTTTTTTCTATGATTAAACGTCTAACTATTTTTCCGATCGGCTGCATTTTGATTCGGGTAATATACCAGAAGAAAACTGACTTTCTTCTTGTCTGGCATCCAGAAGATCAAAAACTTTACGGCTCTCAGATCTGGCAATGAAAAACTCCTGAAGGATTTAATGATTTGTCTCCTATTTTTGTGTTTAAAAGATCAGATTTTGTTCAGATTGTTTTATTAATCTCCAAATTTTGAGATATTGTGTTATGCATTTCCATTACTTTTTCATGTTTCCCTCGCTTGTAAAAAATGATTGCAATTAGCCTTGTGACATTAATTACATTTATAATATCGACTAAATTTCGGATGATTGGTTAAAAATAATGGAGGATTGATTGAACATAAACTTCATCAGCAAATTTTAATGGCTGTAGTAATGAATTTTGTTCAATTGAAATTTTTTTTCGAAATTGCATATTTTTATGATCAATGTGCTGATGAAAGTTTATTTTGCTATCAAGATGAAAACAAAGATATTGAAAACGTACTACTTTTTCTATTTCAATTTCATTGAGAGAAATTTGACGTTTCTTGAGGTTTGAGAGAAATTTGAAGTTTTCTTTTTCCTTTTTTGAGTCTTCAGGAGGCTCATCGTCTTAGGTTTTATGATATTATTTTTGAATTTGTTCTTGTTAACCAATTTTTTACTTCCAGTAAAAGCGATTGATGTCTGAGAGCAAATAAGTTTTTTGATTGTGGATTTTAGAACAGTGTCATCTGCAATAAAAAAAATCCCGAAGTCTAACGTGAAAGTCTTAGAAACATTTATGCATAGAGAGAAAGAAACTGGGCCATGAATAGATCCCTAAGATGCCCCAATAACAGTAATTTGAGTTTGATTTTGTAAAATTTGTCTCGGTGTACTGATAACGAGTGAGTGCCAGGGTAGGCTTGCCAAAAATTCAAGACAGGCCCTCAAAATTCCCACACTAGTTTTTTCAACCATATCAGGAACGTTTATGGTGTTTACTTAAGTCTTTTGATCATTTAGCGTTTTGTTCGATAACAGCGTTGGAACATCTTCTAACAGTGTAATGACGGCGTCTGCATTTCTTCTTTGGATCTGCAACCAAACTGAGTGTGCCCGATTATTTCAAACTTGTCTGCTTTTGATTAAGCTTGTCTAAATGTTTAAACAGACTGTTAAAATTGAAATGATTTATTGTTTGAGGTAGCATCAATTAAAATTTGAAAAGTTAGCACAATTATTACCATTTCCAAACCGTATGTGTAGGTTCCTGATTTATAATGACGATGTTATTGCAATATCCTTTAAATTTTTTTCTGGAATAGTGTTGCTAACGTGGCGGTGCTGTTTTTTTTTTCAATTTTTTGATGAGATCAACGATACAATTTATTTCGATTTCTGTCAAAATGGATGATTGCTGCTGACGGATTACAATCTTTTCTGTCCAAATTGTTTTGTTGTACAATTCAGCCCCGATAAATGCAAAGTAATCACTATAACTTTGAATTTCTCTCACAAAAAAAAAAGAAATTTTTCACTTTAATTCTCATTTTTAAAAAAAATTTCAGAGAAATTATTCTTGTTCGACAATAGGGCTCTTCTTACACTTTTTTTATGGCTATTTTCCTCAAAACTGTATCTGTTCTAGGCTTTCATTGCTTCAACATGTAAAAAAATGTTGTCAAAATGCAGATGTTTTCCGGTTTGTTACTTCTCAGTTTTAAAACAAATGTCAGAAAAATTATTCTTGTTCGACAATACGGCTCTTCTTACACTTTATTTTTTTTGAATGGCTATTTTATTCGGAACTGTATCTGCTCTAGGCTTTCATTGATTCAACATTTAAAAACTTTTGTCAAAACGCAGATGTTTTCCGGTTTGTTTTGGTATTGTTGAGAAAAAAATATATAATAACTGCCTTCAGATGGACCAGATTTTGATGTTCCAAAATTATGTCTGGTCAGGTATTGAAGTTTTTCAGTAGACGCAGGTATTTTTTATGATAATTTCAAAAAATAGGAAAGAGCCTCAATTCGCACTGGAGTTCTAAGGGTAAAACAGTATTAAAAACGAGTTTTGTTGTCAGTTCCTATAGAAGTGAAAATAATTGTTATTTTCAATCAAAAATGGATTTTATTGCTATCATTTTTTCTAGCAAATCGATTATAATAAATTGTTTTTGACTTTGCTAGATAAAGACAGGGAAACTCTATTTTAATTGACTTTTCCACTTTTTTGAGACGCTCATGAAGTGTTTTTTACGTTCAAAGCTAAAGTTTGCTGCCTTATGTTTAATTTTTTTCTGCACAACTTTCATTTTTGTTACTTTTTATATTACTCTATTTCTTAATTTTGTTCGTTTTAAATTTTAGGGCGGGAGGCTGGATAAAGTTGAAAATGGAATACTTTGCAAGGAAATGCGTGCCGAAAAATGCTGAGGCCAAAATTTTTGGGAAAATAGGGAAAAAATTGAAAACGGCCAAATAGCATTTCTGTCCGTCTGTTCTTTCAGAAAAAAGTTACTGAAAGAAATGGCAGGTGGACCACGTGGATGGAGGGGGGAGTTGCTGATTCAAGTCGGGGGTGGGGTGGGGTAGTATTTTAGGCGGGGAGAGGGTGGTTCAGATGGTTCAGCTTTTCAGATAAATGCAGAATTTTTTGCAAAATTATGCACGACTCGAAACCAAATTAAAATGTAAAAAATCCCTCTTAAGTGATTTTAAATGGATAGTATTTCAATTTAATTTTGATAGAAACAAAGAATTATAAACAATTTTATATTCCGTTTTGTTGTCGGAGTGCAACAAGGGAATTGATTATTTTGATAATATTTTAGAACACAAAATTCCATTATAACCAGGGGCGGATCTAGGATTTTCTCGAGGGGGGGACGGATTTTCAAAAAAAAAAAATCGAAAATTTTGACGTCTTTTTTTTAGGCCGACCAAATTGATTTTTCGAGCTTTCCCAAGCACTTTTTTGACCCTATTTTGGCTAAATTTTCTGCGCCGCAGGAAATTTTTTGAAAAAAACAGTCAAAAAAGCCGTTTTTGGGCACTTTTTGAAAAATTTTGACAAAAAATTGCGTTTTTTTGGCGCGCGCTCCCCCTCAAAGTTAGTATATATTGGCGCCAAAGGCGCCTTTAGAAAAATTTTAGGGTCGGTCGGCCAAAAATGGTTTTCTGAAAAAGTATCAAAGGGGGTCCCTTTGGGTCGGCAGGGGGGCGATTTGACTAAACCAAAAGTTTTTTTGAGAAAAACAGGCATGGTTGATTTGTTTTCAAATTTTTCTCAGTATTGAGTTTTATAAATTCGCGGTTCAATATAGGAAAACAAAATACGACTCCAAATATTAGTTTTTAACTAAATATATTCAAGTATTAAAAAAAATTGATTGAATTAATAAGATGTGTCACCTGAATTTCTTGGTTTTTATTCATATGCGTGAGTTTGCAATATCACAATTGGGTAAAATTATCTATTGAATTGAGCAAAATTAAGCAGGTTCATCTAATGCACTTCTGCACGCAATTTATATCACTTAGTACTAGCATTTACACATGTGGGGGATATATAAGCCAGTTGGAGTTTCGTCCTATTTTGAAGTGTCTTGTTTGTTTTCAGCGACAGTGGTGATGCAGAAGATGTTTTTCGGCCACTGGATCAACATCCCCTGCACTTCAGACAATATCGGCAGCTGCTTCTATGAAGACGTTTGTCAACTACTCCCTAATGCCGACCAGCCAGACAACACCCCCTGTCCGAAAGTAAACGTCATTTTCAAGCCCCCTTTTTATTCAAAGCAAGCCCCCTTTTTTATGCAAAGCAAACTAGCGCCCCACATTAACAACAACACTGTTTTTATTTATGTTATTTGGTACATTTATGTACATTTATATATTAAATTCAATAAAACTAAAGAATTTTACACACACACACAAAAAAAACATTTGAACCCAGATAAGACAATTTAGCTCATTTGAAGCTAGAAAAAAGGGGTGCAAAACAGCATCATTAGCGAACTATTACATTTTAAAGTTAAAACGGTATTCAGTTTTTTAGAAAAATTTGGTTTTCCTGAGAACAGAACATTTCAAGTTGACTATTTTCTAAATTTCATAACATCAAAAACAAACAATTTCAAGTTATGTTATAGGAGTTGAGTGACCTTGACTTACCCTGTAAATGTCCTTTGCAAAAAAGGATCTACGAAGTGAAACAACTGCAGATCCAGATCCCCAAACCAGATGTGAACTTACCCCTTCAGGGTCAGTACCAGGTCAACGCCCAGCTGACACTCAAAGAGGAGGTAATCGGGTGCGTGGACATCACCTTTACGGTGGTCCAAGCGAAGAAATAGAAAAAGGGGGAAAACAACGATGGAACAACTAATTGAGACGAGACAAGCACTAATGAGGCGAAGATGTGATTATATTCGCAACTTATTTGGAAATCATGTTACAAATTATAGGGGCTATTAAAATATATTTCAGAAATTTTTAATGATTATAGGAAACATCTTTTACTTTTGTATGAATTTCTGGACCTCTTTTACCGCATCCTCCTAGGGTAACTAGTAACGAATTTCTCTCCCCCTATACTGATATAAATCAACAGTTGTGAGCATGAGAATTTTGTACTTGTAACGAATCTCCCCCATTTGCAAAAGGGAAGTGGGAATAAATAAAGAGATCCGAATTTCTTTTTAATCAGAAAATGCAGAAATGTTGAATGAAAAAATTATCGAGATGAAAAAAAAATATATCAAATGGAACTTTATGATAAGCATTTTTTCCTTGTAACTTTTTTGTGTTTCGCTTTATATTTGTGTTTCGCCCTGAGCGCAAAAACCAAAAGTTTTCGTAAATGATAACACCAACAGGTTAAACAGCGTTGAATTGCAGATATAACTACGTACTGTTAGATGCCAAGTCAGATCAAATTGACTTTTACTTAAAATTATAACAAGAAAATGTAACTTTTCATTTATAGCTACGAGGCCTCTGTTTCGAAAAGTTCAACTTTTAAAACTGTTTTTCGATTAGATTTAGGTTATATCTTATCATCTAAAACTGAAAAGTACAAATTATTCTATCACAGAAAATCTTCAGTCTGATCTTTGATTTTTATAATGTATAAAGACTGTTCGTGGACTACGTAATAAGCAAAAATTTGAAAATTTTGCACGCATAAAAATTTTTTTTTGCGTTAAATTGATTAAGCGACTAAAATGAGAAATAAAAAATTTTTCCCAGATTTGAAATGTTTGTATGGACAAAATGCTTATCATAGAATTTTTCAAAAACGGAAATCGTATGATAATTTTTTTTCCATAGAACCTATGCATGGAATTGTTTTGCATTTTTTGTATGAAATTGTTTGATAAACATTTTTCTTTTGTGGGAATCAATCCGAGCTTTTTCAGACTTTTTGTACAACTATTTCGAAGTGATCCAAAAATATTTCAGACGTATGTGTTCAGACGTAAATATTTGAGACCCTTGTAACAAATCAATAAAAGGTCGATATAAATCAAATTTTGAACAATACTATAGAATATCATCATCCTAAATCAGATTTTGGGCAACAACTTAAGTGGCCCAAAATCAAGCAGATATTGTATGATAATTTTTTTCCATAGAACCTATGCATGGAATTGTTTTGCATTTTTTGTATCAAATTGTTTGATGAACATTTTTCTTTTGTGGGAATCAATCCGAGCGTTTTCAGACTTTTTGTACAACTATTTCGAAGTGATCCAAAAATATTTCAGACGTATGTGTTCAGACGTAAATATTTCATGTAACAAATCAATAAAAAGGTCGATAGAAATCAAATTTTGAACAATATTATAGAATATCATCATCCTAAATCAGATTTTGGGCAACAACTTAAGTGGCCCAAAATCAAGCAGATATCTTATGATAATTTTTTTCCATAGAACCTATGCATGGAATTGTTTTGCATTTTTTGTATCAAATTGTTTGATAAACATTTTTCTTTTGTGGGAATCAATCCGAGCGTTTTCAGACTTTTTGTACAACTATTTCGAAGTGATCCAAAAATATGTCAGACGTATGTGTTCAGACGTAAATATTTCAGACCCTTGTAACAAATCAATAAAAAGGTCAATATAAATCAAATTTTGAGCAATATTATAGAATATCATCATCCTAAATCAGATTTTGGGCAACAGCTTAAGTGGCAAATCAAGATAAAAGTTCCTAAAAATAAAGTCTGAGCATGAATATTTCGAAGTGATCCAAAAATATTTCAGACGTATGTGTTCAGACGTAAATATTTCAGACCCTTGTAACAAATCAATAAAAAGGTCGATATAAATCAAATTTTGAACAATATTATAGAATATCATCATCCTAAATCAGATTTTGGGCAACAACTTAAGTGGCAAATCAAAATAAAATTTCCAAAAAGTAAAGTCTTGAGCATGAATATTTCGATAATTATTATTGTAAATCAGATATTGGGCAAAAACGTAAGAAACAATTTGAGAAAATTGTCGACTTAAATCAAATTTTGAGCTTAAAAATATGCAACTGAAAATATAGAGACTCATCAATGTAGATCAAGTTTTTGGCAAAAAGCTAAGTAAAAAATAAAGAAAAAGGTCACAATACACAGAATTTTGAGCTCAAAAGTATAAATTAACAATGAAATAGTCGACAACTGTGATTGAAATCAGATATTGGGCAAAAAACTATGAAACAAATTAAGAAAATGGTCGTCTTAAATCAAATTTTGAGCTCACATTCTAGCAACTAAAATTACAGACAATCATCAATGTAGATCAAATTTTTGGCAAAAACCTAAGCAACAAATCAAGAAAAAAGTCACAATACACAAAAATTTGAGCTCCAAACATAACAATGAAATTGTCGAAAATTATTATTGAAATCAGATATTGTGCAAAAAGTATGGAACAAATCAACAAAATGGTTGATTTGAATCTTTGAGCTAAATAAAAAATATGCAACAAAAACTAAAATAATTCAACAATGTAAATCAAAGTTTGGGCAAAACCTTAGTAACAAATCAAGAATAAGGTCACAATAAATCAAATATTGCTGTCAAAAGTATGCAATAAAACGATTTTTAAAAAAATCATCGAAAACCAGGTTTTGAATAAAAACCTATGCAACCAATCAAAAATTTATTCAACACAGATCGCATTTTGAGCAAAAGTATTCAATGAAACATGAAAAATTATCAACATTAAAAAAATAATTCAGTCTTTTTACTATTCTATAATACGCTATGGATGCATAATGAAATTTGATAGGCACTGAACAAACGCAATACAAACTCAAAACTGATGAAATTCGAATAGAAAAAATGACTTAAATCAACTTAAAATGTTTTAATCTCCCTAAAAGCCGAATCAATTTAAAGATGAAAAAATCAATTGTTTTAGCTGGGTTTTTATTTTAACATGATTCGATTTAAACTTGGTCCAAATCAATCTTAAACTTTCTAGTATTCTTCGTACTCTTTTCATGCTAAAATTGATCTTAATTAAGTATACAAACATACATATATATGATAGATCTACTCAAATGTGATACTGTGAATGGGTAGCAATATCAGTACTACTCTTTCATAATAAGCTCACACTGGTTGAAGCGTTTTATCAGAGATCAATTCCGGTGTCGCAATGCAACAAAATATGCCTTATAATCTTGAATTTGCTTTCTAATTCCCCTTCTTCCAAAACGTAGAAGCAGCAAATTACCTTTTGGAAAAACCAATTAAAAAAACGCAAGTGTGAAAACCCAATTAACTTTTTTTCTGGTTTTTTAGTAAGAGTTTAGATGTTAAAGCGAGTAAAAAAGTTGAAACAAACCTATTTTGAGCAAATTTGAGAAACCGTTACAACGTTTTATGAAAGGTCACAAGCAAAAATGTTAATTAAACCAATTTGGTAAAGGAAAACAAAATTTTAGACTTCTGGAAATATTTCTGATTGGTCGCAGTTGTTTGATGACCGATCCAACAATGTTTAAGACAAAAAAATTTAGCCCAGGTATTATGGGTTTTAAAGGTCTAGCCCAGGTTTAATTGAAAACTCGAATTTCGAGTAAGGGCAATCAATCTATGATGAAAAGAAGCTTCAGCGAGCAGAAGAGTTCATTCAGTCGAAGAAAGACAACCGTAACACATATGATTGTGTCCTGACACGTTGTGTTTGTCGTTGCTGTTGTTGGTCTTATCGTTGAATACGGAGGGGCGTCAGTTAACGCGCGTATTGCAGCGTCTTCACTGCCAACGCCATCGTCAAGGTTAGTTACTCTGCATAATGTCGAGATTTGTGACCGTCTATCCGAAGAGTTCAAAATATGCTGCCGCCGTGCCGTGGAAGACATGCCAGTGTTCTACAGTATCTCTTTCTTCATCACTACTTCCAAACATAGAGACAATCGACGGGTCCATCAGGTTCCTGCATGCTCCAAACGCTGCATGGTGACAGGACCTCAACCAATCGCGTCTCTTTGCATTTTACTGGCTTCCTTATCCTTCTTCCGTGAAAAATTGCTATAAACAGCGGCCACTTTGGGTGTGAGGGTGCACTGTCCGTGATAGTTTTCTTGATTTAGGCTCTTGCCGCTGCTAGAGACACGGGTTGTGGCGGATATTCACTTGTAGTTGCTTCGTTCGCAAGGGTGTCGGCCGTCTCGTTAACGGGTATATTCACCTGGCTCGTTATCCATTGTATAATCGTCTTCGCCGCCGAGGCAATATAAGGTTCTTTCTGGGCTCATCTGTACCAGAAGATTTGCTATTTAGGAACTGCAACAGAGATTGACTATCCAGGCAAATCAATGTTGTCGGGACATCAGGCTCCGCGTTTCTGATCCAATCCGTCGTGCTCAGCATCGCTTGTACTTTTTCTTCGCAGGGCGACGTCAGCTATCTGCTTTTGGTCTTCATCTCAGTCACCACTGTCGGGTTCTCTGGATCGCCTCTAATGAAGACAACTCCTGCCCTTCGGTTGCTGGTGCTTGCCGGAGCTGATCCGTCGGTGTAAATTACGACGTCCGCCCCTTAGTCTGTGATGAGCGTCAGTGCCTTCTCAGCTCCTTGCTCTGTTCTATTCTCGCGTTCAACCTTAGTGTGCACCTCCCAGTGGTTGTTGCGTTCTGTGCAGGGTGGTTGCACTTGCCTGGGTACCTCTCTGTTCGCCATCTCGACAGGAAGCTGCTGGCTGACGCGTCTGGTCTGCTCTCTTGACTTATGTTGCTTCGTCTAGTTGCTTCTCGTGAGTCTGTGAGGGAGGCCAGGTCTTCTGGCTACTTCTCTCGGGTGGTTGATCTGCACTCGCTTCGCCTTCTCCCAGGACACTGCACTGAGCCTTCTGGTGGTGGTGAGATAGCTGGGGACGTTCGCTTCCCATCTGACTGCTTCCACAATGGTGGAGCAGGCATGCCCACTCACTTTTCTCAGCGCCTTGTTCTGGGCCCTGTCAATCTGTCCAGCTGAGTCCTCGAAAGCCAGGGTTGGCA